CATTAAACTGATCAGAATTTTCTTTTGAGCATTTTATTCATCAAAGAATGTATCGGTTTCCACAAAAATATTAAGCAGCAAAACTGTTTTCAAATGTGATAATAGAAATGTTTCTTGAGCACCAAAGCAGCATATTAGAATAATTTCTGAAGGATCATGTGACACTGAAAACTGGAGCAATGACTGCTGTAATGACTGAAAGCTCAGTTTTTGCATAACAGGAATAAATTACATTTTAATATTCAAATAGAAAACAGTTATTTAAAGTTGTAATAATATTTCATAATATTACTGCAATATTACTGCTTATCTGGGTAAATCATTTCACCACTACTGTATGTTGCTTGGAGAAGTGCAGCGGTTAATTTTGCTTTAGCTTTACTAAACTTTACTCTGTATTCATTTCTGTAGTAATGGCACAATCCCTCTCCCTCTCCCTCCCTCTGGCAGTGGTCCTTCAATCAGGGTTGAGTTATGACCAGTCTGGCCTGCACACAGCGATCTCTGCATCCTCATTAGGTCTTCATTAACCCTCTCAAGCTGAGCTTCCACTCAGCTTATCAGTGGATGTGTTTGAACACCATTCTTCATTTCCCACAATCCCCCGCTGCTCAGCACAGTGTATGGGAACTGTGGTTCAGTGCCGGGCTTTCAGCACATTTACTGTAAAATGACATACAAGGCTCTGGGGACATACATTGACCTAATGTGCTGCACAGACACATTCATGAAGAGAAACTGCTTTTGGATGTGTCAAATGCATGTCATTATTTTGACAAATAATATCCCTTCTGCGATGCCTCGGTAGCTTTTAAAATGAGACTCTTGAACAATGAGGAATAGAGCCACTTCTATACCTTCATGCCCTTGTGTTCGCCTGAGGATATCTGTAATATAGATATAGAAATATCCTCAGCAGGTTAAAAAAAATGAGGTAATAACGTTTCAGAACTGGTTTTTGATCTCAGATCTCAAATTAAAAGTCATATCTGGTATGTTGGTGGCTGCCATATTAAGTTTGGGACTCTGGGAGGCTGATGTGATAAAAGTGATCATATGATCAGCGTTAGTCCCACAGTAGCAGTTCACTGTAAGTGTGTGTGTCCATGCCCACAGAAAACTGGAGCAATGGTAAACTTGCATTAATTCACCAAGGACAGTTTTACATTAAATAATTAATGTTTAGGAGACTTGACTAAACAAGTGAGCAAACAATCTCCAGTGAGTCTCATAACCAAATGAACAAATGAATTAATATGTTAATGAGTTAAATAGGTCTATATTTCAGCAAAATTCCCCCACCACAGTACTTTTATACTTAAAGTTATACACATAGTTATATACAAACACACACAGCATTTACAGAGAGCAATATCAAATATATGTTCATATCCATAAAATTATGCACACATATAAATTAAAGTATATATTTATGTACTCTGTGTGTGTGTGTGTGTGTGTGTGTGTGTGTGTGTGTGTGTATATTTAGATTTAGTAATTAATATGTTAATGAGTTAAATAGGTCTATATTTCAGCAAAATTCCCCCACCACAGTACTTTTATACTTAAAGTTATACACATAGTTATATACAAACACACACAGCATTTACAGAGAGCAATATCAAATATATGTTCATATCCATAAAATTATGCACACATATATAAATTAAAGTATATATTTATGTACTCTGTGTGTGTGTGTGTGTGTGTGTGTGTAAATTTAGATTTAGTATTTTAGACATGCATTAATGTTTATATTACTACTTGTATAATTACACCCGTAAAATAATTAAATACTATATATCAGTAAGTATAGTATTGATTATTTGTATTAATTTGTATTATATACTGGGATCCAAGACTAATAGTTTGGATTGCACACTCTCTTTCACATCCTTTCTTCATCCCTCTGTTAATTTATCCTTTATTTTACCATTGGACATCTATACTCTGGGGGCGTTTGGATATAAATAGCATAAGGTGGAAACAGAAAGTTCTCTCCATCGCTCCTCTATCTCTCCTAAAGTCTAGGTGCCCCAACTCTCTGAACATAACGTCTGAAAAGGTGCGGACGACCTCTTCTATCAGGACCGCTCACCTTTCTATTCACTCTCTGTCTTAGGGATGAGTGAGAGAGAAAGAGACTCTCTCATGTAATGATCTAAATAAATGCAGAAGAGTTCCCTGCAGGAAATGCTTCTGCCATGTATTTGCTAACACAGTGGTTCTCAACTAGTGGGATGCAAAAATGGGTTGCAGGTTTGTTCTGAAAAAAGAAAATGCTAAATGCAACTAATAATGTTTTCATGATGATGAATAACTAGATTTAGACTATTTGTCCAATCAAACAACATTATTTTGCTGCAAATTCATGTAATTTTTTAGATGCTAGCAAAATTAGACAGATGCTTTCATGAACAGGTTGCATGACAATCCCTCGTCCTAAAAGCCAAGAGTAAAATTACAAGGTCAAAGAAAATATGAACCAGACTATATTAAAAACAGTTCATTTTTTCATGTTAATTTTTGTTTACTTGGTGCGATAAAAAAAAAAAAAAAAGTTTATACTGTATTGGATCACAAAATCTGGATCCTGTAAGAAAACCAGTTGAGAACCATTGGCTTATTGACATTCTAGATTCTTCTTCTTTGTTCTCAATGGGCATTTAGGTTTTTGAGAGAGGCGCAGAGATTCCTGTGGTTGTGTTCTGGCCCTTGGTCTTTATAGCCATCTTAAAGATGGCTCTGTTCTGAGTTGAAAGGATGAAGAGGCGAAAAAAGTGAGCAGGACCATTTTTTCTCTCTCTCTTTATGGCCACGACACCCCCCGGAGACATTCTCCTGCACAAAAATAAAAATGTTACTAGTCTCAAGTCAAGTCTTAATATTTACTCCAAAGGGCAGGCCATAAACTATTAATAGACAGCTGTCTGTCTTCACAAGGCTGTGAGGGAGAATGATTTTATATTGAATCCTCATGTGGTTTGCCAGTAAAGGGGAGAAGAGGTGGTCCGGTCTCTCGCCATCCCGCTGGGAGTCCTGCTTTATCTCCCTCTCCATCCACCGACAGACGAGACGAGAAAGGCCATTACAAGGCTGTCTGGGAATATTGCAATATTCAGCAGGGCGATTGTCTGACGTCTCCCTGGGAGGCACATTTCCTCCGTGGAGGGAGAGAGAGGCATACCTGTAGCTTAGAGGGAGAGAGTGAGGCTGATAAAGACCCTTAGAGTTGACAGAGAGGAAGTATCACCTTTCTTGGTTTTAAAGGAGGTCTTTCAGGGCAGGAATGAATATTTATATAAGGACTCAAAATCTACAGGTGATCGCCACAGCAGTTTAGAACCTGTAATGCTTCTGTTTTGCATTTTTCTAACTTCTAATATAGTTTCTTTTATTTAAAAAAAAAAATCATTTTATCAGCATAGCTATTTGAGTTAAAGTTGAACTGAACTAAAAGAGATGCATTTCTAAATTTCTTAGTATCATCTGAAGGTCTGTACAAAGGGGTTTGCAAATTTAGTTATGATTAGTGAAGAAAGGTGCAGGATCTTCATTCCTTATTCATTTTACATTTCTTTATGTAAATAAATTCACAATCCTAAACCTTTCTGTTTATTTTCAGGTTTAAGTGACATTTCGAATTCTAGACTTTCAGTGTGGCCTTTTGAACCCCGCTGAACAGAATATGCAAATATTAAGGAAATGTTTGCTATTTAAACATTTGCTGGATATTTGATTTTAGTAATACAGTGTATTCCCTACAGGTTGACGGCAATCTTGCTTTGTGTTGTTTTATACTTGTTCACATGAGCTCTTTGTTTTGGGAACATGGGAAGAATCAAAAGAGGGTTTTGTATGTATTGAGATTCCTGTTGTACTAGTGTAATCATAGAGATCTTAAGCAGGATGGCCGGTCTGGGTGGTCCGCAAAGGAAGGAGATGGACTTGAATATGGGATCCAGTCTCCGCAGTGATAAGGGAGTGCTGGGAGGTTTTGTGTTTTTTTTGTTTTAATTTCAATCTTGATGTTCTGCTCTTAAGTGACATTGTTTATATTCTGGTGAGCTGTGGTTAGAGATGACTAGAAGTTTGATCTTAAGTGGAGGAAGTGAAGTGTTGAGGTGAATGATAATGTGTTCTCTTTTTTTGTATGTATTTATTGTACCACTTATCTTGATCATGCTTTTGATTTAATACAAATAGGCTGTCCCATAATGCAGTTCACTCAGCTTGACCTTTTATTTCCAGTGTGATTCTACCTGTTAAGACATTTTTATTTAAATTAGGTTGTACATGCAAAAATACACTTTTTTATGTCCAAAATGACCATCACTGATTTAAACATGAACAAATGTGGCAACAATGTAGCATGCTACTGTATTTTAGTATTGCATAATGCACACTTTTTATATGTCTTCTTTAAAGTAGTATTATATTTAAAAAAAACACTAGTGTTCAGTTACAAACCTAGTCATATATATTTTTTAAATTGTCCATAGTTTTTAATTCATTAATAATTGGCATGACAATTTTCTGTGTTGTTAGTCAAAACATCTTCACTGAATAAATACAATTAATATATTTATTATATTCCAGAAAATGCTTTTTTCCCCCGCTAGCAACTGCATGCAGAACTCTGCAAAATGTTCTGCAGATTTCCAATTTGGAACATTCATAAAATTCTAAAAATGTGATAAATGTTTTAGTTATTTTGATGATTGTTGCTCTGTGTATATTGATAGTTTGCCAAAATTGTTTCAATAAATAAACTTTTTATTACTGTTTTAGACTTATTTGGATTTTCAACAAAGTAAGAAAAGTCTCTAAAAATGCCTCAGTGTGTCATAAATGAGTCCCCTGAGCTCTAGTTATGACAGGTTTGAGTACTGGTACTTTCATATTTATTAATAGTGTTGCCCCTAGCCATGTGTTTACCCAGAGATGCATTGATCCAGGTTTCCATTATGCTAAATGCCTCTTTTCTGCTCTTTCTGCAGATCGACCGTGTCATATTCTGCGTCTTTCTGGAGACAGATTATGAGATTTACAAGAGGAAGATGTCAGATTTCTTCTCCCCAGGTACTGTATCTTCTTATTGGAATCTAACTTCATTTTATTTGTTGGTTGTAACACCCACTCAGCTCAAAGCTTGTTACTTGGGTATCAGGCAGAATTCACAATGTCAGGCGTCTGACTGGTGTGACGCCTGAAAGAATTTGTATCATATTTTATTGTCAAAGTGCACAAATACAGCACAGCAGGCAGTGATTGGATTCCACATAACCAAAACCTGTTTATGGTAATGTACTGCCCAGGTTGGATTATTTAAACTGAAAATTATTTCACCCCACCTTGATCATACAATGCAATCAGGATAACCGCAGTCAGACTCTCTTCCAATTAAAGGGCTGTTTCATTCAAAAATGTATGTTATGTCATCATGTGCTCATTTACTGTCATAATTTATATGTTGTTCCAAACTTAGACAATTTCCTTTCTTCTGTACAATACAAAAGTAAAATGCTGAAGACTGTGGTCACTTTTTTCAATTTTTTTGCTGGGTAACGCTTTACAATAAGGTTTCATTTCTTAACATTAGTTAACTTCATTAATTATCATGAAATAACAAACAATACTTCTAAAGCATTTATTAATTTTAGTTAATGTTAATTTCTGCGTTTACTATTACATTTTTAAAATCAAGAGCTGTATCTGTTAACATCAGTTAAAACACTGTGATGCAATTTCATGCAATTCTGATTACTGTTTTTTTTTAACGGATACCGATTGCTGATTTTTTTTTTCTTTAAGCTAGAGACAATATATACATATATTGTATCGGCCCCAAAGCGCATCAGCCCACTGGGAAAATACCCCGTATGTCAGATGGCCAGTTCACCGCTGATTTGCAGTATGAAATCTTCAGTCTTCATTCATTATAATTGCATGGAAAAGAGTGACCAGCATAGTTTTCAGAATCTCCTAAAGTCATACAAGTTTGGAGCGACATAAGGATAAGAAAACAATGGACATTTTTTTGTGTAATTGCTAAAATAATTTCAGAAAGTTTCCCAGAATCAATATTGCTCTGTCGGCCAAACAGTGTAATGTTGAAGCCGCCACAGGGGAAATCAACCTACAAATGTCTTACTTTTAGCACATTAAGCCAGGTTAGGAGAAAGCATTTTAACATTGAAAAAAACATAGACACCATGTTTAAAGAATACATAAAATATTACATATATAAAAGACCCACAATATATATACTGAGAGGAAAGGAGAGAAATAGGATAAGCTTTGTGCATTGGAACGTGTTTTTGCTCTCTGCATCTCACGGCTCATTGCATTTGTGTCTCAGTTTGTAACCAGCCGCCTTTGAGTGATTTTTGGTGTTTCCACAAACTCAATTGGTAACTAAACTCTTAGGCTCTTATAACATCTTGCTTTTCCTTGCTGCCTGAGAATCCCAGGAAATACTCTAGTGTATGAGTTTAACAGGTGTGGAGCATTTTGACTTCTAGTATTTCACAGTACAGATTGCTTGTTTCTGAAGCTCAATCGTTGTAGCCCGGAGGTCCATATGTAGAGCATGACTCAAAGGGGCTTTACTTCTGTCAACACCCTCAGTGATCCTGAGCCTCAACGGCAAACCCCAGATGTCGGAGGCACGCAGGACGGCACCTCCTCAGTGACATTCCACTTCACACTTTTGCTTGTCTTTTTCTGGTTGGATCATGTGGTCTCTGGTTCTGGCTTTGGTTTAAGTAAAGATGAACTGTTGTGTGATGGAACTTTAGAAGTCGGTTCCTCGGTTTTCACTTTCTTTGTCTTGCACTTTGGCCTTCTGTCAATGTCAATATGACTGTTTTGCTTTCACCCAATCCCTCACTTTGCCTCTCTTTCTTTTTTTTTTTACTCCCTCTCCCGCCTTATGAGACGTGGCACTTGCTAGTTCCATGGGAACTTGTCTATTGTGCGCCCATGTAGCATTTCTCTCTCTTTAAAGGCCAAGTCTCTCTCAGGAAGGCTCTTTTCAGTCTCCCTGAGCACTAAACAAAAATATGATGTGAGTGCAGGCCTCACCAGAGCCCTTTTGGACCTTCCCAAGTGTTCTGCTGTCTCGCTCTGCCTGAAGCTCGCTGCACTTTCATGACAAGACCCCCTGGAGGTTTCCAAATGAGCCGCTGCCTGGAGGTTCGTCATTTGTATGGACACGCACACACACACACACAAACAAACAAACAGAGGAATGGTGAATGCACAGTACCGAGAGAATAATATAATCCACCATTTCCTCCCCTCAAACACACACTAGGACTCGTAGACCGGGCGGAATAATAAGTGTCAAGACACTCACTCTTTCCCTACTTGCTGAATGTTTTGTTTCTGTCATGTTCCTTTCACACACATACACACTCTTTTCCTCTTCCAGGTCTTGCTGAAAGATAGAATTCACCGGAGAATTTGTAATTATATCAGCCAGGTCCTTGTTCCCCAGGCGCGTCTCTTTGTACTATTGTTTAAAAATGAGATGGCGGAGACGCTACTCTCTTAGTTTACAACCAATCAGTATGAGCCAGTCACCTCACTTCAGCGTTCTCCGAATTCTCGCTCGCACTTGATTTTTTACTTGGACCTGACTGAAGTCTTAATCCAGTACTAGTATAAATTATTTTGGTACAAAATGCTTTATCATAAATTTGAAGGGACCATATTATATATATTTTGCAGTATTTGAGGGCTTTTTTCCACTAAGGCCCTTTCATATGACTTGCATCATGACTTTGCGCCACATGAAAAGCCATCAAACAGGCTTTTTTTGTTACTGTGTAGCAAAAAAGGAGGAGCTACACAGAAAATAGTGAATGAGTTTTTTGATACATCATGCAAAGTTTTTTATTGGCTGTGCTTCAAAAGGTCAGTGGCAAATGTGACGTAGACATGAGTCATGTAAAAGGGTCTTTATAATGTTAATACAATAATAATTTAGGTCTAAATGCTAAATAACTGTTGATATGCAAACATGAGCAGTGAAAGGGCTGCACAATTTGGGGATTTTTATTTTTTTCTGATCAACGTAAACTCAGCACACCTGAAACGACGATAGGTGCATGGGAACAAAATCAAACAAACAGTTGAATCGAAAATAAGTTACGAACCCGCACACTATCAATACTTACTAATTCTTAAACTTTATTTATCACACGCAATGTTTCGGTCCACCGACCTTCATCAGGCAAATGTATAGAATTAAATATCACGTGTGCTTCAACCCATGTTGTATAACTTATTCGCTGTCCATGTGGACTTTATGTGGGAAAAACATCTCGACAATTAAAACAAAGGATCAGTGAACACAAGAGCTCTATTAGGAGAAAAGATGTCATATCCAGTTGCTGCACATTTCATTTCTTTTAATCATGATATGTCTGCTCTACGTTTCTTGGGAATTAAAAAGGTGTCTGTCACACCAAGAGGTGGTGATATCGATACCCTTTTATTAAGACGAGAACTGTTCTGGATTGTAACATTGCAAATTTGATCACCCTTAGGGTTAAATGATGAGGCATTATTCAATATAATGTTGTAAAGTGTGTTTGCTGTATATCTAAGTATCAGTTTGATTAAAAACAAGGGGATGATATTAAAACCTTGTTAAGATGTGCGTTTTCTGATAACCTATTGTGATTTTATAAACATAATTATTTTTGTATGTGTGAATAATGATATATTTTTCATTGGGGATGTTGTAAAGTGTCTTCTATTGTATACTTGAGCCATTGGTATCTATTACGTATGTGTTTGTGATTAGTCCACACATGATTGTCAGTTATACTCCTTGGTTGGGAGAGTATATAATTATGTCGTGTTTTTAATTCTATACATTTGCCTGATGAAGGTCGGTGGACCGAAACGTTGCGTGTGATAAATAAAGTTGAAGAATTAGCAAGTATTGATAGTGTGCTGGTTCGTTACTTATTTTTGATTCAACTATTTTTTTCTGATAAAAATTGCCATTGTGATTTAAAAAATAAAAGCTCCAGGTTTTATTATTATTATTATTATTAATAAACAAAAAAATGAATATTATTATTGTAATATTTCACTGTAAAATAAAAAAAAATAGTTTTAAGAAAAATAAAATAATAATAATTTTATTTCCAAGTTAAACTTTTAATATAATATTTATGGCTGTCTTAATTTCTTAATTTTCAAAACACTGAACCATTAAGCTTGTATTTTGGTGGAAAACCACAGAGAGCACTAAAATCTTCTGTTTGGTTAACAACAGCTGATTTATAAGCACTTCTGATTACAAGTTTAAAAAGATGGATGCCACATTTTTTGTTCCCAAATTAACGTTATAAGCGACCTGAACTCACAACATGTGCAGAGATGAGTTTGTATGCATGCCGGTACAGAACACAATGTTGTGCTTTACTTTTGATTAATCATGCAGTTCAACATTACAACCCTTTCCTGTTTCTTATTTTGAATAAATGGTGTGGTTAGGAGACGTTTCCTTACATGCTCTTTTGACTTTCATGTACTGTTTTCTATTATATGACCTCTTTAAAAGGAATCTCAATAGTAATGCTACAATGTAAAGAGTAATTCATAAAGTCTGGGCTTTTAAAGAGTTTGAGAGGTCAAGTTAATAGTTCCAAAGTCACACAAATGGTTTTATCATTAAAACGCGGGTCGAGGAGGCAGAGACAAGCACTGATGAATAAACCGAGAGAGTGGTCTGACAGGGTCGGAGGTCAGCGATGCAGAGAAAGGGTCATCTGCAGTAATTGCAAACATTTAGCGTGTTTCGTGATCGTGAGTCTTGAATTTTATTTCAACATTGTTCTTTTCACCATTAAGCTCTCTTATCCACCACAGAAATAGTTTTTCTCATTTTCAATCAAACTTTAATGTAATTAAAGTAGTTGTTCATCTTATTCTGTATTTTATACAGTATTTAAATAGCTTGTTCCGAAAACGGTATCTGTTTTTGATGTGAGAACCGTTATGAGTGACATATGGAGTTATTATCTGTAGTGAAGCATGCTCGTCTTTCTCACTGTTCAGCA